GCATTTAACAAACATATAAAAAAAACATAAGCTAACTATCTATAGATTTATCTCCCTTTTACACTTTAACTCCCCTTGTTCGTATCTGAATATAACTATTTAAACCGATTATTGTTTGAAAATAATGAATCCAACTTCATTCTTGTCCGTTCTTCAATAATACGCAAGTCTTCTTTCTTCCAGCATTGCACAATCAGCACCCAATTACAATTAACCATCACATCTCCAACCCTTACATATATTAACCCATTGACAAAATATTTTAACCAATCTTAAATAAACTATATTGTAAAAACCTTATTTCTACTTTTTACCCCATAAACTCATATTAATTCTTCCTGGGAACATGCCTTACTTAATAACTTTGCATAAACTTATTCATCTTATTCTCTACAAATACACTGCTTATAATCAAATAACATCTTCACTATTTGATATCTATAAAAAATATTGTAAAAGACCTTCCCTCAACCCTTGCACCACTTATATTTTCCTTATACCCCACAAGTTTATATTTATTCTTCAACAAAACATTCTTTATAAGCTTATATAAATTTTCAGCAAAGCATTCCTTAAAATTAACTTTAGTGTTAATATACTTCAGGACAAAAGTGAAAGTTTGGTCAGTAGCCCATAACAATTCAAACGTAAGATTACTTAATATAACTTTTCAAAACAAATCATGTCCCTAAATAAAAGTCTAGTCATTCATTTTCACTACTACTATCCTCCCCAGGCAAAAAGATTGTAATTTTTCCATCTCGATTTTTTCCTGACTTTTTTGCGAACCTTCTTCTTCAGTCTTATTCCTCCATCTCATCATGTTGAGAAACTGACCGGGACATGTTCAGAAAGTTCAAACAAGGTATGCCGTATATATCGGGAAATTCCAACATTCCAAAATCAAATTCTGATTATTATTTTTTTACAGAACTTGGCTGAGGAAAGACTCGTAAGATTATGCCACCATCTGCTGGAAGAATTTGGAAAGACTTGGCAGAAAGTGGAGAACGAAAAGAAAGGAAACGGAAAGTGGAGAACGAAAAGAAAGGAAACGGAAAGTGGAGAACGAAAAGAAAGGAAAGCCTTGGGGTAAGGTAGTCCTTGACTTACAACAGTTCATTTAGTGACCATTCAAAGTTACAACGGCACAGAAAAAGTGACTTAGGGCTGTTTTCCACAGCATTTCCCAGGGTCACACAATCCAGATCCAGACACTAGGCCACTGATTCACATTTACGACACACACCATGCCCAGCTGACCCGCACGATCATCAGAGGCTTTTTTTTTACTTTTAAAAGCATTTTTTCTACAACCTCTTCCGCCGAAAAAATGCTTCCGCCGATCCCAGCTGAGTTGCCTGATTGGCAGAGAGGCTTTTTTAAAAAATGCTTTAAAAGCCTCTGACAATCCCAGCTGTGTTGCCTGATCGGCAGAGGCTTTTCAAAGCATTTTTTTGCATTTGCAGAAAAAATGCTTTGAAAAGTTAAAAAAAACAAAGTTGGCCATGCCCACCCAGTGACATTACCCCCCCCCAAGCCACGCCCAAAGAACCGGTAGTAACAAATTTTACATTTCACCCCTGTCCAAGGTCCCTTCCAGCTCTATTCTATTCTTCTTCTTCTATTCTCAAAACAATTTCCCCTAGGAGACGCACATGAATATATGATTATTGACAATGTCTGTACTGAACAACTCCCTTAATCCATTTAAAAGTCATTAAATCGATCACGGACGCAGGATGACCTGGTTTATGACCGGTCCAACTTACAACCTATGAGGCTGGGCTCATTCAGGGCTGAAAGTTGAAAGGACTGCCAGGAACAGATATGAGGAGGGGACCAGTGCTCGGCCACCTTCTGGCTTAACAAACTAAGTTGAGAAACGTCGCATGCTTTCCAAAGGAGATCAGGGCCCATGGGAAGACGCCTTTGGGATCCAGAGGTTTTCCCGAAGGCTTTTATTCAATGCTCCATCTATGTGGATAATAATGAGCATCTTTTTGGAGGACATTAGATCTCCCCCCACGGAGTGTTCAGCTCTCTGCATCTGCCCTACTCTAGGCGTTCCTATTTCTGTTGGAAGACGAGCAAGAGTGGAGATGTTCCAGATATCATCGATGGTTGATGGTTGCTACCACCCTTCTCCAATAGCACCTGTGGCTCTGTGACCTTCTCGTGGAACCTTCTCCTCTCTCTGACATTAAATTGTTCTGTCTATCTCCAGGGCCTGTTTCCACAATCTCCCTGCCAGGTCTTGTTTCTGCGACGTTCCTTCGTGGTCCTTCGCGATGTAAGAATTATCTTCACGCTTCCTCGCTTTCCCCAAAGACCAGCTGGAAGGCAGGTGCCCAGAGGGTCATGGGTTGCCCCTTCCCCACTTTGGAAGAGCTTTATAGCTCCCGCTGGCTTTAGAAAGTTCAAAGCATCCTTAAGGATCCATTTCACCCTGGGCCCCCCTCTTTTTGAACTATTACCATCTGGCAGACGGTACAGGACAATAAAAACAAGGACAAGTAGGCTGAAAAACAGCTTCTATCCCAGAGCAGTAACTATACAATTCTACGTACAGTGCAATATGAATACAATACGAGGGTTTTTTAATTCAATTGCATACAATGTGAAGGAAGTGTGTTTTTGTTTTATTTTTATAGGGTTTTTAAAAAGTATAATATACAGTGAGGATGGCACTTAATTTCATTCTATGAGGTGCCATGACAATAATGGAAACTATGAAACTATGAAACTATTATTGCTTGGTCTCGGAGATCCTCCTGATGCCTTTGGAGGGGAGTTGACTACTAACAAGACCCGGCTTGATCAGATGGCCACACTGCCGAAAGATTTCTTGCATTGAGTCAGCTGCAGCCTGAGCCACTGAGGCTTCGGAATCGCCTTGCAGATCCTGGAGACCTGAAACGAATCCAGAAAACAAAGGATTTCCGGGATCAACCGTGAGAACCAGCCCTGATCAGCGACAGAGCTTCTGGAGAAAAACTCCTTGTTTCAAGCGAGGGAACTTTGAAACTCACCCAGGAAAACTTCTTTCATTTGTTTTGAAGTCATCACTTCCGGTTGCATGTATTGCGCGCAGCAGCCTGGGCACGTAAAAAGAAAACGTTGGTGGGGTTAACAGAGACGGCTAAATCGACTGATTCAGGAAAAAAACGCGCAATTCATTGGTTTCCACTTGGAAGAGTCGCTTTGGGACTTTACGGGATGGTTCCAGGGATTGGGTCTGTCTAATAATAAGAAGGACGAGGGGTAGCCGTTCTTCCTCTGTTTTTGTCTCCAGGCCTCACTGGAGGCTTTCAAGAAGAGATTAACGAAGAGATTGGACAGCCACTGGTCTGAAATGGAATCGGGTCTCCTGCTTTAGCAGGGGGTTGGACTAGAAGACCTCTAAGGTCCCTTCCAACTCTATTACTTTATGTTCTAGGACTGTGCAAACAACCATCATCTTGGAAAAAAATCTAAGCAGCCTTGAATCCAGTTAATACTAGAATGGGAGGCCAGCTGGAAATATTTCCAGAGAAAAAGCCACGGCTGTGGGTTTGCCTATACAAGAGAGAGGGATACAGGCCAGGTAGTCCTCAACTTCTAACAGTTCATTTAGTGACCATTCAAAGTTACAATGGCACTGAAAAAAGGAACTTACGACTGCTTTTCACACTTAGAAGCGTTGCCACATCAAGATCAAAATCCGGATGCTTGGCAAACCGACTCGTATTTATGACGCTTACAGTGTCTTGGGGGTCAAAGATCACTTTTTGCGATCTTCGGCTGAGCCAAATCCGGGAGGAAGCCAGATTCACTTAACAACCATGTGGCTAACTTAACAACGGCAGCGATACCCTTAAGAAAGAGGGCAGGAACTGCCTGAGAAACTGTTGCGCGATCGTAGCCGTTCCGGAGAAGCCACACGGTATAAGAGCAGCTTCCAGTCTGATTAAGCGACATGGCTTAATTCTGCATAGATTCTTTTGGTGACAAGGCCGCCCGCCTGTCTTGGGTTTTCCTGCCCTCCTTCCAGAGTTGGCATTGGTGATTACCAATTAAGAGGGCAGCTGCCTCGCGATGGGAAGAGTTCCGGCTCCTCAGGAATCCCAGCATCTGATCCAACATCGCAGGAAGGTTTTGCTTGCATTTATTCATCTGGGGAAAACAAGGCAACAAAGAAGCCAATGAACTATAGAGCTTTTTTTTTTTTTAACCAAGGGGCCGCTTTCTTGGTCAAAGCCAGCTGGGTGACTTTGGGAGTTCTAGTCCCTCCTTAGTCACGATGGCCAGCTGGGTGACTTTGGTGCAGTCCCTCTCTCTCAGGGCAACCCACCTCACAGGGCTGAAGTATAGAGCTTCCTTACCAAGGCTGCTTTCTTGGTTAGGTTTCTAGTCCTCATGTCCTCAACAACTTACTGTACTGTACTAAACTGTGACATTATTATACTATGCTATACTTTACTATACTAATTGATATTTATGTTATTAGAGACAGTTTTATCCAAATTAAAAGCATAAAGGAAAATAAAGAAAAATAGCAGATAGTGAAAAAAGAAAATAGAAAAAAAAGGGAAAGAAAAATGATAAGGAAATGGCTTCTAAACTTATAAATGCATTTATATTTTGCCCCCCTCTACGTCCTAATTTCCTTTTCCCACAAACTGCCATTTCCAATCCTCAAACCCACAAACCAGCAAGTTTCTAGTCCTCATGGTTGCATGGAACCTCTGCTGTACCCGAGAGAGCAAAAACCCAAGAAGAATCCCACTAGTCAGTTGAGTCTAGTGCTTAACGCCTCAGGCAAGAAACCAGGAACCGGTGAGTTCTAGTCCCGCCTTCATCATGATAGTGAGCTGGGTGACTTTGAGAGTTCTAGTCCCGCCTTTGGCATGAAAGCTGGATGGGTGATTTTGGCTAATTACCAGGAGACGGTGAGTTCTAGTCCCCTTGGGCAAGCAAGCGGACTGGGTGACTTTGGCCAATGAGCAGGGAATGGTGAGTTTTGGTCCTGCCTTAGGCATGAAAGCCAGCTGGGTGACTTTGGGAGTTCTAGTCCCTCCTTAGTCACGATGGCCAGCTGGGTGACTTTGGTGCAGTCCCTCTCTCTCAGGGCAACCCACCTCACAGGGTTGTTGTGAAGAAAAGAAGAAGTATTAGGGATGCCCACCGTCTTGAACTATTTATCAAAATAAGAAAGGCAGGGCAAAATAAAGAAATAAACGGTTAGTTTACTCTAATCTGGAAGAAAACAGGCCAGCTTGGCTCCTACTTACAACCACGTAGCAGATGTTGGAGTACATGCTATGAAGACTGGTGTACATTTCATAGTCAAACAAGTTGCTGGGAAAGCCCCCCCAGTTCATAAAGGACACGCAGGAGTCGAGGGTCTTCCTGGAGACCTGGCCGAGGGAGGAAAAGGGAGATCCTGTCACCTAGTTGGGTCATGAAAGGTCTTCAAGGAAACAACCAAGTTCAGGGAGCACCAAGGACCCCACAACTTCAGGATTGTCTACAATGTCTTTGCATTCTCCAGAGTGTCCACGTGGTACAACCACGTTGCTCTGAGTGAAGATGGGGGTACAGAGTGGTCTCTGTGAAGGTAGCATGATCAGAGCAGGAGCTCAGCTTAGCCAGCCCTTCAACTCACCTCTTTTGTCCGATCATTTGACAGTTGTATGAGGAGGGGAATAAGGCTGTTCAGGATGTTTTCGGCCATATTACTGTTCCGTAACTCCTTCAGTCCTTTCAGGAGCATGCCAAAAATGGTGATGGAGGTATTCCTCAGTTCGATGTCGTCCTACGAAGGAAGAGAGACAGGTTAGTCCCTCCAATAGCAGAATAGCCATGCAGAAGTTTCTTGAAGTTTGCAGGAGAACACACAAGTTCAGAGCACACCTATTCCCAGTTCAATGTCCATGGAGATGGTCAATCATCCAGGTCATGGTTGCCCCAAAGATGGGGAGCCCAACTCCAGTATGCTGGCTGGAGAGTTCTGGGAGTTGAAGTCCTCACCTCTTAAAGTTGCCAAGGTTGAGAAATCCTGATCTAGACCAGAGTTGTTCAATCTTAGCAGCTCCTTCTGGACTTTCTCCCATCTTTATGGGAGAAAGAGAGAGATAGAGGGAGAGGGAGAATGAAAGGGAGTGCAGGAGGAGGGAGGGAAGGAGGGAGGAAGGGAGGGAGAGAGAGAGAGAGAAAAGAGAGAGAGAGAGAGGGAGGAAGGGAGTGAGGAGAGAAAGAGAGGGAGAGAGGGAGGGAAGAGGGGGAGAGAGGGAGGGAGGGAGGGAGGGAGAGAGAGGTGGAAAACCAGTTTGTTATGATTTGGTTGACTTACATCATGAAAATGTTTCAGAAGGAGCGGAATGAGGTTGACTGCCTTCACCGCATGGGTTTTGATATCGAGGTTCCTGAGGAGGAAATGCAGGGTCCTTATAGCTTCTTTTGCCACGGTCTTCTCTTCGTGACAAGCGCAGTTTAGCACTGGCATCAAGAGGGGTTCCAAGATGTTCTTCTGGAGGAAGCAGGGAAAGAAACGAGCAATTAAACGGTCACTGGAGTTCTCTGAGTCTCACAGCGATCATGACAAACGCAAGAGAAGGCCACAGAGCATAGAAGAAGAGGGTTGAAAAGGAACTTGGAGGTCTTCTAGTCCAACCCCCTGCTCAAGCAGGAGACCCTAGACTCTGCTGGACAAATGGTTATCTAAACTCTTCTTGAAAAGCTCCAGTGATGGAGCACCCATAACTTCTGGAGGGAAGTCGTTCCAAGGATGAATTGTTCTCAGGGTCAGGAAATTTCTCCTTAGTTCCAGGTTGTTTCTCTCCTTCATTAGTTCCCATCCGCTGCTTCTCGTTCTGCTTTCAGGGGCTTTGGAGAATAGGTTGACCCCCTCTTCTTTGGGGCAGCCCTTCAAATACTGGAAGACTGCTCTCAGGTCTCCCCTGGTCCTTAACAGAATACCAGAGATGGAAGGGACCTTGGAGGTCTTCGAGTCCAACCCCTGCTCAAGCCAGAACCCCTATACCATTTCAGACAAATGTCCTCCAAGAGGATCTGGCCTCTACTTGCACCTTCAGATCTTCCAGGGTTGCAGCCATCTTTGTAGAAGAGACACCACTCTAGCTGTCCTCTTTCTGCTGGTTGCCTTCTTCTTCTCCTTCTTCTCTCCTTCCCAGCCTTGTAGACTTCCCAGAGAGCGAGGTCACACCTGCTACTACCTTGGAAGCCACTCCCTTCCTGCCCCCCATCTCTTACCTCAAACGGGTGTTGGATGAGGTTCCCCAGTCCTCTAACGCTGAAAGTCTGTATCAGCGGATATGGCTGGGTCATCCATTCCTTCAGCACCTGGAGGATGTCTTGGATGACAAAGAATTGGCAAATTTCCGGGTGAAACAGCAGCTGAAGAAGAAGAGTGGAGATATGGAGCGTTAGCCAAGCCAAGGAAGAGAACTTCCCTGAGAGCCTCGACTAAAGATGCCACTTTCAGCCATTACGGGGAGAGAAAAAGAAAATAAACACAGTCCTCGGTTAGTGACCGCTGAAAGTCACAACGGCATTGACAAAAGAGATACGTCCATTTTTCAGAATTATGACCATGGTAGCATCCTCATGGTCATGTGATCAAAATTTGGGTACTTGCCGGTCCATATTTGAGTTGAAGATGTGGCTCTTTCGTCAACTTAACTGATCCGTTATGGGTGTACATTGTTATAATTTTAAATTGTTTTAATTGGGTTGTTGATTTTAATTTATTGTGATTTGTATTGGATATTGTTTTTGTAAGCCGCCCTGAGTCCCTCGGGAGAATGGCGGCATATAAATATATATATATATGACGGTCGCAGTGTTTCGAGGTTACGTCATCCCTTTTGTGACTGTCTGATAGGTAGTGTAAATGATAGTTGCAAGAATACAAAAAATAATGCAAAAAGTAAAAGGAATTTGGGGTCATTGAGTCTTCCTTCCTCCCTTCCTCCCATCCTCCCTCCCTCAATCTCCTTCCTTCCTTCCTTCCTTCCTTCCTTCCTCCCTCCCTCCCTCCCTCCCTCCCTCCCACAACTTCTGGAGGCAAGCCATTCCACTGATTAACAGAATACCAGGAGACCTTGGAGGTCTTCTAGCCCAACCCCCTGGTGAAGCAGGAGACCCTCTACCATGTCAGACAAATGGCTGTCTAGTTTCTTCTTCAAGACCTCCAGTGATGGAGAACCCACAACTTCTAGTTTCTAACCATAAAGTTCTGTTGAACCCTGGGCAACTTTCCTTGAGCTCCAGAAGGTTGGGGTGCATCTCAAGGTCTCCTCACCTCCGAAAAGAAAACCATCCCAATGGTTTTGTGTCTTAAATCGGGGTGGCGCACGTAGGTCTCAGCCTGTCGGAGCATGACCTTCAGCTCATGTTTCGAATAGTTGAACAAGATCCTAAGAGAATAAATATGGAGAGATCAGACAAGATCTGCTGGTTAGGGAGAAGAAAATCACCAAGCTAGAGAAATCATGAGCTGAATGATCGATAAATGAATTACTCAATGAATTACTCCATTTAGAGAATTTCTCACCCTCCCTCTCTCTCTCTCCCTCCCTCTCTCTCTCTCACCCTCCCTCTCTCTTTCTCCCTCTCCCTCTCCCCTCCCTCTCCTCCCCTCTAATCTTTCCTCTCTCTCACTTTTGCCTTCTGTGTGTCTCTCTCCCTCTTTCTCTCCCTCTTTCTCTCCCTCTCCCCTCTCCCCTCTCCCTCTCCCTTCCCTCTCTCTCCCCTTCCCCCTATCTCTCTGCCTCCTCTTCTTCCTCCTCTCCCTCTGCCTCCCCTCCCTCTCTCACCCACTGCCCCTCGTAGCCAAGCTCTTTTGACTTTTAATTTCTTACCGGACCAGGTGGAAAATGCCTTCAAACACACTTTCAGGACTCATCAGCATCGCCCAACATTGAACCATATCTAAGTCCTTGAACTCCTCCTGATAGCCGGTGCGCAAGATGAGGTGTTTGACGGCTTTGACTGCGTTGCTAAATGAAACAAAGGCAGAAGAGTTGGTGCCAATCATTCAGCTGATCCCCCTGCACTTCCGACCGTTACAGTATCCCTATGGTCATGTGGTCAGAATTCAGACTCTCGGCAACTGACCCATATTTATGACGGTCGCAGTGTCTCAGAGTCACGCGATCCCCTTTTGGGACCTTCTGACAAGCAAAGTCAACGGGGAAGCCAGATTCACTTAACGACCATGGGACTTAACCAGTGCAATGATTCACTTAACCACTCTGGCAAGAAAGGTTGCAAAATGGGACAAAGTTCACTTAACGACTGTTTCCTGAGCTTTGCAGAAATGGAGAAAGGATCCAGATTGGGCCCAGGAGATTCCTTACCCCAGATGGTAGGTCTGTTCTGACCCGCTCTTGCCTGCTCCCAGCAGAAAATAGATGTGCGTCACGAGCGCCAGGAGCAGGCTGGAGAACTTATGCTGGACAATGGTTGCTGCCTCAGGAAGCGAGAGGAGGAAGGAGAGCGCATTGGTGGCCTAGAAACAGGAGGAGAGGAGAGTCAGCTCGGGCTCATCAGGTTACTTAGATTCCTCATCATCATCTATTTCTTCTTTTAACGACCCCCTAATCCCTTGCGGGGTGGAGTCTGGGCAACTGAATGGAGCTGAGGCTTTCCTGGCTGGATGCCCTTCTTGTCGCCAATGCAGAGTTTTGTTCGGCAGATACATTCTCATTGTGCCCAGAGAGAGAAAAAAATCCTCATGTCCATGAAAGCTGAGCCAGGAATGTCCATGTCTGAGACACGGAGCAAAAGGTTGCTAGAAGTGGGACTTCTGAAACTCCCATTCTACACCCCCTCCAGACTTTGAGAGGCCAGTGGGGTGTAGATACAGGACAAAAGGGAGACAACGAGTAGCACAAGTGAGACAGAACTGGGGACAAAGAGATCGGTAACCTCACGTTTCTCTGTTTGTCTTCATTCCTAAGTGGGCTCTTGACTCTCCACCTCTTAGGGGTCCTTGGAGGGGCCCTGGGTGCTGTCTGAGCGTGTGTTTTTTGGTTGCAGATGTTTCATGACCCAGCTAGGTAACATCATCAGTGCTGGAAGAGTTAGGCTTAGAGGTAGGGTTAGACTGGTTGGGTCGGGAAACATCTGCAAGAAAACCACCAAGCTCAGTAAGCACCAAGGACCCCACAGTTCAAACCTGGACTACAAATCTATTGGTCTTAATTAATTAAATTTCTCCACCGGCCATCTGAGCAATCTGACACTGGGAAGTTTACAACAATGTAATAAAACAATATAACACATAATAAAAATACAGATTAAGAATATTTAAAATAAGATATGACACAAAGTACTCCGTTGGGTGTTTGCCTTTGTTGGTTCCTATCATGTATTTTCTTAAATCAAACTCTTTTTTAGTTATTTCTGTAAGAAATAACGTAAGAAATGAATAAAGGAATCAATTGAATTATGAATGATTGGATGAGTAAAGGAATGAATAAATGAAGGAATGTATGAATAAACGAATAAATCAATGAACGGATACATGAATGAATGGATTAATGAATAGATGAACCGATGGATGGATGGGTGGATAGATGATAGAGCTGGCTGGCTGGCTGGCTGGATGAATGGGTGGATGAATGGATGGATGGATGAATATCAAAGCTGTTCTGGTGAGGAAGCCCACAGATGCCTCTACTTTCAATGGGGCACTTTGGGGGGAAGGGGGGCTTACGTCAAATTTTGCTCCGATTTCAGCCCCCACCAGTTTGCCCTCTGCCTCCCTCCAGCCAGGGCGTGCCTGCTCCTGATGAGGAGACCCCCGAGGGTGACTCTTCTGCTCAGCCCCTTCCCCCTTTCCTCAGGCCTGGCCCACCTGCAGATCTCAGGAAAGGAGAGCCACCGGTTGAGGGCTTACCGCAATGGGCATGATGGATTTGCTTGTTCCCCTCCCAATAGCTTCGGTGCTGGGATCGTGGTCATCAAGCCTTTTGAGGAGGGGCTTCATGATCTTCAGGTTAGCATAGGGGTCTGCAGCCAGCGCCCTCCACAGTTCCCTGGCACTTCTGTGCAGGTGGAAAAATGGATTGGGGAAAAAAATCAGATTCTTTCCCCATTTTCAAAGAGACGGCCATTCCAGATAGATTAACCCCCCCAACGGAAGAAAGGGTTAGAGAACCGATGGCCAAATGAACTGCTTTAAGGCATGGAAAAAAATATAGCTACAGGTAGTTCTCGACTTGCAACCGTTTGTCTGGTAGCCATTCAAAGGAGGGCCTCTGCGCCACCGGAAGTGCCAGAGAACCCAGAACTGGTCAAGGGGGGGGAGGTTTCTAGGAGCAGTGTGTCTACAGAATTAACCCAAAGGTGCTTTTCACAGAAGGACCGAGTTGGAAGGGACCTTGGAGCAGTGGTGAAATTCAAAAATGTTCCCAACCGGTTCTGTGGGCGTTGGTTGGTGGGCATGTGACCGGGTGGCCGTTTCTTGGTGGTCATATGACCAGGCGGCCGTGGCTTGGTGGTTATGTGTCCGGGTGGGCGTGGCTGCACAACTGATTCACACACAATGCAGAACCTCACTGAATCACAGAGAGCTCAAAAGCAAACGATCACACTTTACACAAAAGTAACACAAAAGCTACACAACTGACTCACATACAATGCAGAAGCAGCTGGACTTTACACAAAATGGCCCCTGCAACAAACAGGAACCTCACAGACAATCAGGCACAGCTGATTTTCTCACAGCTGACTGGTAGTAAAAAAATGCTGAAATTAGAAATTACAAAAAGGTTCCGACATTGCCCGGCACAGCTGATTGTCGTACGTTTTAAAGCGTTTTTTTTTTACTACCGGTTCGGGCAAACAGTAGCAATTATTACTATCGGTTCGGGCGAACCAGACCAAACCAGAGGATTTCACCCCTGCCTTGGAGGTCTTGTACTCCAAACCGCTTCTCAGGCAGGAAATCTTATCCCATTTCAGACAAATGGCTGTCCAATCTCTTCTTGAAAACCTCCAGTGATGGTGCACCCGCAACTTCTGGAGGCAAGTTGTTCCACTGGTTAATTGTTTGCACTGCTAGGAAAGTTCTGCACATTGTAGGTTGCTTCTCTCTTTGATTCGTCTCCACCCTTTGCTTCTTGTCCTGCCCTCAGGTGGTTTGGAAAATAGGTTGACCCCCTCCTCTTTGTGGCAGCCCCTCAGATATCAGAACACTGCTATCCTGTCCCCCCTCAATCCTTCCTTTCATCGAACTAGAGAGACCCAATTCCTGCAACTCTTCTTCATATGTTTTAGGCTCCGGTTCACTAATCATCTTCGTTGCTCTTCTCTGCACTCTTTCAGAGTCTCTGCATTGTTTCTACAGTGTGGCGACCAAGAAAGTTAAAAAACCAAGGAGGTCCAGCTGCCTTTTGGAAAAGCACCTTTGGGACAATCATGACCTGGATGGTGGAGACAACCAGCCTAGGAAGCTCTCAGAATTCAGATCGACTGCACAGCCAACCAGCGACTGCACTGGCCCTCAACCAACCCAATGCAACCTCCCCCCCAATCAGCACATGACCTGCCCACCCCAAGCTACAGATATTCACCCCTATCGCAAATGGTTGAGAATCTCTGTAGAGTACAAGAAAACAGGAGGCACATCTCCTTGAGGTTCTTCTTACCCATCGCACGCCACCGAGCACTCGAGGAGAATATCCACGACTTTGTTCACCCGTTTGGACGCCAGGTGACACACTGCCTTTAGCGTTTGTTGTTTGGTGGCAGGGTCCAAGATCTTCGGGAGACGTCGGTAGATCTCCTTGAGGATCATGGGCAGCTATGGCAAAAGAGAAATCCAAGGGATGACCAACTTTCTCAACAGCCCTAAGATTACCTGGTGGTCTCCATCCAACCCTAGCCTTCTTAAATCCAGCCGAAGTGTTGTCACCAAGTCAACAAGGTCTCACCCATTCTCATCTTTCTTTTCTACAAAATCTCCTCTATCCCTTTTGCTCCAAACCCTGCCATTTTCTTACCTCCTCCATGTCCATCCCACATTCTTCCAAGAACGAATTGAGCAGGAGTCCCGCAGTGTGTGAAATGTTTTTGTCCAGGTGTGTCAGAGCTGCCAGGGCTTTTAAGATCAGGTCGTTTATTTGAGACGGGCTCAGATGCTCGCCAAAGGCCTATCGGAAAGAAGAAAAGGAGACCATGAAGAGATGCATCAGGGTTTTGACAAGCCAGAGACTTTGACCCGTATCTGGGGACAGCACCCCATGTAGAGAGGCAGGCCGTATTCCATGACATCCACCACGTGATATTAGGATGTGGGTGAAAGAAGCCAACATGGCAGCCGAGATCGCCTGCTCCTAGACATTGTGGGGGATGGATATCCACCCTCCGGCCTTTGGAGCCTGCCGTCCCCACTGTGATATTGACTTTTTTGAGTATCTCCAGGTCAAGAGGAGGAGAAAAAGGAAGGTCAATAAGAAGCCAGGCAAAATGCTGAACGAAAACGTACCGTAGCCATTTTGGAGACGTTATTATAAAATATTGTTGGGCCCGAAAAGGAGAAGTCTTCCCTCAGCCAAGTGACGACCTTCCCCTTCTTGTTTCTAGGTTTCTCATCCATTTCTTTGGCTTTGGAGGGAGGAAAACAAGAGAAGGTCAGATTTTGGCATTCGGAACTTCTGAACATCCTTCGTCTGACGGCCGGTTTAGTCGTTCCAACAGAAGAGAAGATCTGTAGCTCAGGGCTGACCTGAGGGGTCCCTGGTGCTCTCTGGGCTCGGTGGTTTTCTCGTTACCTAGTTGGGTCATGAAACCTTCACAAGAAAACAACAAAGCTCAGAGACACCAGTCCTCCTCCTCCCCCCTCGCTCCCTCTTTCTCTGCCCCCCCCCTTTCTCTTATCTCACTGATCAGGAACGAAACAGGTACAATGACCTCTTTAGTGGTCCAATTACAGGCAGTCCTCGACTTACGGCCACAATTGAGTCCTAAGCAAGACAGTTATGAAGCGAGTTTTGCCTCAGGTTGCGATTTTTTTTCTTGCCAACCTGGTTAAGTGAATTGCCGCAGCAGTTAAGTTAGCAACCCGGTTGTTAAGTGAATCCGTCTTCCCCATTGACTTTGTTTGGCAGAAGGTCACAAAAGGGATCACATGACCCTGGGACACTGCGACCGTCATAAATCGGAGTCAGTGGCCAAGTGTCCAGATTTTGATCCCGTGAGCATGGGGATGCTGCAACGGTCGTAAGTGTGAAAGACAATCACAAGTCACTTTTTTTCAGTGCCGGTTAAACTTTGAATGGTCACTAAATGAATTGTTGTAAGTCAAGGACTACCTGTAACCCCTTTTCTAGGTTAACACAATAGATGGGACTGTAAATGGAGGGGAAATATAGGGCTACATAAGAGACAAATTACATAAATGAAGGAATGAAGGAATGAACCAACAAACGAATGAACAAACGAATGAATGAATCTAACCGGATTTAACCCAGACTACCTTGGTCTGATGTGCAAATGAAGCATTAGGTTGTGAATTGATTGTGTGCTGCCTGGGGAATTCTGGGCATTGAAATCCACATGGCTTAAAGTTGCCACTGGGTTAAGCTTTTAACTAGCCAAATTTAACCGATCCTTTTCTTTAGGTAAACCATTGATATAAGTGCCTGTCTTTCAACCGATTGTGGACGGCTCCCAATTAAAAATTAGAAGACACGTAAAATGGGGTTGAAACTATAAAATTAACAAATAATGTATTGCAATTATAAACCCTCTTTAGCTCTTTCCTTAACAATGCCCACTCAACCCGTAACTTGGTTAACCCGTTTTCTGGCTTCCTGCAATACATGCAGCCATCCAATGACTAAAAGGTGGCTTTGCAAAACACGCTAAGACCCAATCCATGTGCCAAGACTCACAAGCCCAGGCTGGCTGATGGCAGATGCCTAGCCTAACTCTGTGGTCGGCAAACTGCAGCTCGCGAGCCACATGCGGCTCTTTGGCCCCTTGAGTGTGGCTCTTCCACAAAATACCACCTGCGGGCGCGCACGCACAGTGCGATTGAAACTTCGTGGCCCATGCGCAGAAGTCGGTTTTCGGCCTGGGCGAGTCTATTCTGAAGAAGTGGCGTTAGAAGAAGTGGGGGTGTCTTGCGGGCGAGAGACGGGAGACGGGAGACGCGGCGCAGGTGGGCCATGGGATACGCAGCGTGGGAGAGGCGCACGCGATTCATGCACGAGTTGAGTGAGCCAGTCAGTCAGCAATCTCCTTGTGCAGTGGTTAGTGCTAGTCGCATCCGCCAATCACGCGCGGGTGACAAAAGTAACTACTCGGAGCATAAAGTTACCTGTATTTTTCCAACCAGCTGCAAATCCTACAGGTATTTTTGTCATCAATTTAAGAATTGTAATTATTTTGTGTTGGTGGCTTTATTATTATAAAATGAAACATTTTTTTAGGTGCCCTGTTTGACATGGCTACAAAGAAGAAGCAAAGAAAAACGGAAGACGAAAACCATGAATTTAAAGTTGAATGGACCGAGACTTTCGCGTTTGTTCAAAACTTAAATGGCCTTCCGACCTGTCTTATTTGTCAGGAAAAATTGGTGCATAACAAGAAATCAAATTTGGAGAGACACTTTAAAACTAAACACGTGCCATTTAGTAGTAAATATCCTGTCGGTGATGCAAGGAAGAAAGCAGTTGAGGAACTTCAGAAGAGTCAAGAAAAATCAAGTTCTGTATTTGATTACTGGATTCAATCTTCCAACAATGTTAATATTGCAAGTTTTGTGGTTAGTCAAAAGATTGCTAAGAGAGGAAAACCATATACAGACGGCGAATACATAAAAAGTTGTTTTATAAATGCATCCGAAGAGCTATTTCGGGATTTTAAGAACAAAGCCGATATTCTAAAAAAAATTAAAGAGTTACCATTGTCTGCTAAAACAGTGAAAGACAGAACAGTCAAAATGTCTTCGAATATAACCAACCAGCAAGTCGAAGATCTTAAATTGGTTTCAGCTTTATCAATAGCAGTTGACGAGTCTTGTGACATAAATGATACAGCTCAAGTTTCACTTTTTGTACGATTTATTTCATCTACAGGTCCTAAAGAAGAAATTTTAGGATTATTGCCACTCAAAGGTCAAACACGTGGAGAGGACATGGCAATGCTGTAATTGAGTACATTGAAAAACATCATATTCCACTCGATAAAATTGTCTCAATTTCAACAGACGGGGCGAAAAGTATGACCGGCGTAAGAAACGGGTTTGTTGCTATTTTGAAAGAAAAAATTAATCACGAGGTACTTACTTACCATTGCATCATTCATCAAGAAGCGCTTTGTGCTCAGACATTTCCAGAAGAAATTTGCAAAGTTATGGAATCGGTGATTAAGATTATCAACTCCATTATAACTAAACCTCTTAATCATCGCCAATTTAAAGGATTTTTAGTTGAAATGGAGAGCGAGTACGCCGATCTTCTGCTGCATAACAAGGTACGTTGGTTATCAAGAGGAAACGTTTTGAAACGTTTCGCTTCCTTATTAACAGAAATTAAAGCATTTCTCCTTGAGAAGGGGATTCGCTATCCAGAACTAACGAACGATCAGTGGATCCAAAAATTTTATTTCATGGTAGACATTACGTCTCATCTGAATCAGCTTAATCGTAAACTACAGGGGAAAGGAAACACCATTTTTTCGATGTTAGAAGAAGTTATTTCATTCGAAAACCAATGATCTCTTTTTGCTCAAGATTTTGAAAGAGAAACTTCGATTCACTTTCCAAGCCTGTTGAAACATCGCCAAGAAAATAATTCTGATATTGACATTTGCTATTTCAAAACAACACTTTTAAATATGAGGGAAGCTTTTCTCAACAGGTTTCAGGAATTCAGAAACAGCAAAGCGACGTTAGCCTTTGTTAAAAAGCCTCTTAATGCTACTGTAACAGAATTAAATGTTTCTCCCTTTAATATTGACATTGGCAACTTTGAAATGCAATTGCTGGATTTCAAAAACAAAGAATTGTGGAGCTCGAAATTTGAACGTCTTTGTGCTGATACAGAAATATTGGAGAAAAATAAATGTGAACTTAGTTCACAGCACAAGTGGTCTGCTTTGAAAGACCCGGAGAAGGAAGATATGATGATTTTTAACACCTGGAATAGTATTCCTGACTCATATCATCAACTGAAAAAAATAGCGTTTGCTGTTTTTTCCTTATTCGGGTCTACATGGTTATGCGAACAATCATTTTCAAGCATGAACCTTATCAAGAGTAAATTGAGAAGTTGTCTTATTGATGAGAACCTGGAATCGTGCCTAAAATTAAAAACAACATACAAACCTGACTTACTCAAACTTTCCAAGGAGATGCAAGGCCATTGTTCACATTAGTGTTTGTCAGTCATTGTCATGATTTAATTTTATGGATATTGTAAGGTCAATTGTAAGAAATTTAATTTTATCAATAAATAATATCGTTATTAAGTATGAGATCAAGTTTTATTCAACGTACCTATAGTTTAACTAAGACTTAAAACTTTAAGTAAAGTTTATTAAGTTAATTTTAGGGAACGTTGTGGAGTGAAAGAAGATGTAGTGTCGAGGAGATGGTTTGGACATATAAAGAGGATGAACGAAAGGAGATAGACGAAAGAAGTATACAGGACGAGTGTGGATGGGAGAGATGGAAGGGGTCGACCTCAGCGAACGTACCTCCATCAGATTGAGGACGTTCTTAGCAAAGGCCAGTTTAGGAGTACCCTAATTAAGTTAATAACAATGTACCTACCTATCTAGTTTAAGTTTAACCGATTTGGCTCTCCAAAGAAATTTCAATCGTTGTACTGTTGATATTTGGCTCTGTTGACTAATGAGTTTGCCGACCACTGGCCTAACGGATCCACTTAACGTGAGAAACTCAGTCTTCAAATGACCCCTGGCCCTGAGAGGTGCCAATACCAACGGCCAATTCCAGGCATCTCTGCCCAGGCAAACGACCGGGGTCTTGGTCACGCCACAAGCTGTGCCACCCAGTGCTCTCCTGGGCAGTGCGCATCCCTGGGCTCCTGGCAGCCCTTGGAGTCCAACTTTCTCACCCATTTTGCTCATGATGAGGTGGTGGAGGTGGTAGGCGGCCTCTGCGGACGTCTGGCCAACTTCTTTGCTGGTGTCGCCAACGTGCAGGCCCAGCAAAGCCACCAGCTGTCCCAGCAAAGAAAAGTCACCTGTGGGCTAATGAAAGGAAGCAAAAAGGAGGGGAAAGATGAGAAGGGGGGCTCATGAAGGTTTCAGCCAACTGAAATCAGAGCATAGGAACCATAGCACCATAGAGTCCTAGAATCCGACCTTTTAGAATTCTAGAATCACAGAATCTTAGAAACATAAAATCTTAGAATTTTAGAATTATCCAATATTTGAATCTTAGAAGACTAGAATCATAGTCATAGATTCATAAAATCAGTGAATCCTAGAATCTTTGAATAATAGAATCTTAGAATCCAAGAATCTTTGAATTTCTAAATCATACAATCTTTGAATCTCTGAATCTCTGAATCTTAGAATCTTTGAATCCCAGAATCATAGAACCTTAGAATCCCAGAACCTCAATTGCTGGAAGGGACTGTGGAGGTTTTCTCCTCCAACCCCTTCATCAAGCGGGACTCCTTATATCCTCCTGGTCACATCCCAAAGATGCTTTTTCCAAAAGGCAGCTGGACTTTCTTCTTTTTCTTCCTTTCTTTGAAAACATCTCACTGCGCATCCCAAACGGTGACTTACGTCGAAATTGACGTTTTCAGAAACGAACTTCAGGAGGTGTCTGATGCTCTTGATGGCCCTCTCTCTCTCGTGTCTCTTGGGAGATTCAATCCAGGGATTAATGTGCTGCCAGGAAAAACAAAGGAGGAGGAGGAAAGGAAGAATTTGTGATTCACAGTTGGAAGAGCCACAGAAGTTGCCAGGACTGGGGAGAAAATCTAAGGAGCTCAACAAATTTGAGACATTGGTCAATTGAGGTCTATTTTAGACTGAAAACTAGAGTAGCAATTGAAGATTTCTGGAATACAACTAGTCTTACAACAGTTCATTTAGAGCCGTGGTGGCACAGTGGTTAGAACGCAGTATTGCAGGCTAATTCTGCCAACTGCCAGAAGTTCAGCAGTTCCATCCTGATCGCTCCAGGTTGACTCAGCTTTCCGTCCTTACCAGGTCGGTCAAATGAGGACCCAGATTGGAGAAGAACCTGGGTCCTCATTTAGAGAGGGCTGTAAACCACGGTGAAGCGGTATGTAAGTCTAAGTGCTATTAGTATTTAGTCACTGTTCAAAGTTACAATGGCACTGAAAAAGGGACTTACGACCATTCTTCACACTTATGACCATTGCAGCATCCCTATGGTCACGTGATCAAAATTTGAACACTTGGCCAATGACTCATCTTTATGACGGCTGCAGCATCCCAGCTCGGTCCCTAAATGAATGGCTGTATGTCGAGGACTTCCTGTATAAGTAGTCCTTGACTTACGACCAGAATTTGGGGTGCTTACCAAGGTGGATGTTAGGCGACTTGTGACTGGCTTTATGACCTTTTTTTGCCAGGGTTGAACGAATCCCTGTGGTCCTTAAGTGAATAATGCAGTCATTAGCCGAATCTCGCTTTCCCCGTAGACTTTGGCTTGTCGGAAGCCAGTTGGGCAGTTCGCCAATGGTGTTCAGGTGACACCCCCCCCCAGGATGCTGCAACCATCACAAATACAGGTAGTCCTCGACTTATGACCACAATGAGTCCAAAATTTCTGTTGCTAAAATGAATCCCATCGGCATCGACATAATCTGCATCGGTCAATTGCAGAAGGCAGCTTTACTCGGAACAGCTGCGAGGCTCTATGACAGGGGTGTCAAACTCGATTTCATGGAGGGCCGAATCAAGGTTGTGTTTGACCTCGAGGGGGGCGTGGCCGAGGTGGGAGTGGCCAGCTCAACGTCTCTCGTGTCAGGGGCACCTGTGGACTTCCCTGAGACCCTCCCTCACTCTTATTATCATCTCCTCCCTCCCTTCCTCCCTTCCTCCTTGCCGTGGGACAAGAGAGACACGAATATCAGAGAAATAGTGGAATAGAATCATTAGTGAAAAGATGCCAGAGGAGGGACAAAACAAATGTAAATGACAAAAATGAACATCATTTTTTAACTATTGAAATGAGTTAAATTGAATGGTTGAATTGTCCCATGGGACGAGTTGTCCACCCAACAGCCACATTTGCCTATCCCGGGTCCTTGGGAGGGGCTCGACAGCTGGACAGAATCGCCAAATGCAGCCTAAACATCTGGCTGACCAACCCCGAGAAAGAATCACTCTTTACCGTCAAGACATCCTGCAGGGAATCCAAATTGGGAGCCTCGGACAGCAAGGCGGTGAGCATGGTGTTGCAGGTGGTCACCATCTGGTCATAAAAATCCTAGAAGGAGAAAAAGAATATCTAAAGGAAGAAGTGGTGTAAAGGAAGAAAGAGGAAGAAATCCAGGGCTGGGGAACTTATGGCCCTTTTAGGACGACTGGTGGACTGCAACGCCCAACAATCCTGAGCCAGCCACGGACTTCTGGGAGTTGAAGTCCACCCTTCTGCAATCAACGGAGTGGCCCGTCTTGCAGGGCTGGTTTTTCTTCCAGAGTTGGAGGAAATGCTTTCTCGGCTGAACACGAGGAACAAAAGGACATTGGGCTCGATGGATGGATCCAGAGTTTTGGAGGAGATTTTGAATCATGCTTATTTCCAGGTGGATCTCAGATGGCTTGGCTCCATCTGGACTGCTCACCTGAGTTTGAGCTGGTTGTCCTGGGCCGTTCACGTTCAGTTTTGTCACCAGGTAAGCCGGCAAGGAAAACACCTTCTGGATGCTTTTTCTCACCACTTTAGACCTCATCTCGGAGTTCAAGGGGGGCTTCATACGGCTGATGAAAGACGAGAAAAGAGGAGGAGGGTGAGAAGATCATAGACTCATTAGGCTAAAAGGGACCTCGGAGGTCTTCTACTCCAACCCTTGCTTGATGGTCCTTAAACCATCCCAGTCATATGGTTGTCCCCTCTTTTCTTGAAAACCTCGAGGGATGGAGCACCCCCAACTTCTGGAGGCAAACTGTTCCACTGATGGATTGTTCTCGGTGTCAGGAAATTTCTCCTGGATCTCTCTTTGATAAGCTTCCCTACATCGCTTCTCATCATGCTCTCAGCTACTTTGGAGGGGAAGTTGACCCCCTCCTCTCTCTGAGAGCCCCTCAAATATCAGAACTCCCCTCATCATCCTGGTTGCTCTTCCCTGCACTCTTTCTAGAGTCTCAACATCTTTTTTATATTGTGGTGACCAAAACAGGATGCAGGATTTCTCTCTCTCTCCCTCCCTCCTTCCTCTGTCTCTCTCTCTCTCTCTCTGTCTCTCTCTCTCTCTCTCTGTCTCTTGGCAGGTACATACCTCATGCAGGTGATGGTGATGATCGCTTGATGGAGATTTTCGATGGACAAGGGTCTCGCGGGCTCATCTTCAATGACTTCCTGAAAAGAGAAGGAAACCCATCTAAGAAAGAACCTGAGATATGGCCACCCTCCAGCTGGCCCTCTTCCCAGCCCTACGCTTTTTCTGGTTGACACAGGAAGTCCCCAGCTTACAACTGGTCACTTAGCCACCATTTAAAGTTTTGAGGGATCTCTTCAGGACTACTTATGACCCAGATGCCAAGTTCCGAGAGGCGCCCCTTCCTCAGCGATCCTGTGACCCCATTTCGGTCACTTGGCCACCAGCTTGCATTGATGGCAGTTTGCAGTGTCCCGTGACCATGATTTAAGTCAGGGGTGGGCAACTGTGGCCTCTTGATGACCTATATAAAATTGGGAAGCCAGATTCCCTTAACAGCCGTGCGATTAACTGAACGAAAATGATTCGGCTAACAACGGTGGCAAGACAGGTCGTACAATGGGCAGAATTCCCTTAACAAATGTCCCACTTAGCAACAAAACCTTTCAGGCTCCATTGATTGGCATTCAATTCGGTTCAAATTCACTTCCAAAAAGAAAGACGCCCAGGAGCACCTGCCTCCCCCCCTCTCCCCACTTACAACGATGTTTGTGACCAGTTCCTGTTTCTGGGGCAAATCGAGGTCTTGCCTCCTGCTGTTGGCAACAGCTTTGGTGATCATGATGATGGACCTCATGAAGGCTTTCTTCAGCCCTTCGTCCTGGAAAACCCCAGTGGGAATGAAAAGAAACCAGAAGGAAGAGGATGTATTTATTTACTGAAACCTTTACGTAGCCGATTGTCTTTGGTTGAACTCTGGGGGCCCCCAATCAAAACATCACTGGACACTCTGGGTTCTAGTCCCACTATAGGATGAAAGGCAGCTGAGAGACTTTGCGCCCATCACCAGGAGATGGTGAGTTCTAGTTCCTCCTTAGGGAAAAAGGCCAACTGTCTTTGGGCCAATCACCAGGAGACTGTGAGTTCAAGTCCCGCCCTAGGCACGAGAGCCAGCTAGGTGAGTTGGGGCCAGTCTCAATCCAAAACACGTCACAGAGTTGTTGTGTGGAAAGGAAGAAAGAGTGTAATGCAGGAGCGCTGCCTTGAGGATAATAAATGCAACAAGACCATAGATCCTCCTCCTCCTCCTCCTCCTCCTCCTCCTCCTCCTCCTCCTCCTCCTCCTCCTCCTCCTCCTCCTCCTCCTCCTCCTCCTCTCCCACAACATGCTAGTTGGGTCATGAAATGTCTTTAAGAAATCAAACAAGCTAAGGACTCCGGATTATAATTGTTCTTGTGATTAAACTCAGCATTAAGAGAAGTAGAGGGTGGAAACCTGCCTACCTTTTTCATGCTGGAATACTGATAGAGTATTTCTGAGACAATGTTGTCCAGGAAAGGCATCATGTCCTCTACTTGCGCTCCCAGGACTGCCTGGCCATAGCAGAGTATTAATGTGGTCCGAATCCATCTCTCGGAGAGAGTCTGTGAGTCCTGTCAGTCCAAAGACGAGGGGGTCAAACTCTTTCCCAAAGCACCAGAAGACAAGACAAGAAGCAATGGATGGAAACTGATGGAGCTTCTTAGTCATCCAGGTCACGGTTGCCCCAAAGGGGCTTTTTCAAAGGCAACTGGACTTTGTTTTTCCTTGAAGAGGTTTCGCTTCTCATCCCAGAAGCTTCTTCAGGTCTGACTTGGGTCAAAAGAGAAGAAGCTTTTTGGATGAGAAGCGAAATTGTTGCAATATTTTCAGGATCAGACTCAATAAAGATAATAGAAGTTAAAGCTTTAAATATATTTCTTTTTAATTATGATAGGCATTCTATATTCACTGAATATTCAAGGTAGAAGCGACGAGAATGGTGAGGGTGGCTCCTTATATATACAAGGGGTGGAGCTAGGAATGGGAGTGGTAAGTTATGAATACATTAAAGTCCAAAGAATAAGTTAACCTCTGATGTTCCATATATACATTATTTACACATTGGAGAATAAGGCATTTACATCTGACAAATCCCCCTCTAAATGCCGGTTCGTTACACAACACCAATTACATTCTGATTCAGGACAATATAATACATATAATTTAGAAGTTAAATATTTGTGTTGTTTAGAAGGTAAGGGTTTTGTTAATATGTCAGCTAATTGTTCAGAAGTATCGCAATGTATTGCTTTAATGAATCCGTCTTGAGACAGTTGTCTCACATGCTTAAACTTTATATCAATATGCCTGGACCTTTGTCCAATTGCATCGGATCTGGATATTTCAATGGCCGCTTTATTGTCTTCATGCATAATAAATGGTAAGGTGGGTTTCTTCCAAACATCAGTGATCAGATCATTGAACCATACAAGGTTATTTGCAGCTTTGGACAAACAAACATATTCCGCTTCTGTAGTAGAAGTGGCTACTAGTTCTTGTTTACCAGTATACCAGTAAACTGGACAATCATTCAATAGAAAAACATAACCAGAAGTACTCTTTCTGCATGATGTATCACCAGCCCAATCTGCATCAGCATAACAAGTAATTTTTGGTTCTCTGTCATTATTGGGTTCCAACATTAAACAAAAATCTAATGTACCCTTCAGATATCTTAGAATTCTTTTGACAGCTTCCCAATGATACAAGGTTGGTTTACTAACATATCTTGACAATAGATTGAGAGGTAATGCAATATCTGGCCTAGTCCAATTAGATATATAAAGGAGTGAACCTATAACTGATCTGTAAAATGTGTTGTCTTTAAACTCAGGGAAGATTCATCAGTGTTTCTAAGAAAATCAGTTTGCATAGGGGTGTCACAGGTTTTAGCATTATTTAAGTTACATTTGTTTAGGAGTTCGATGATTTTATCTTTCTGTGTAAGTTTGAATCCCCTTTTAGTTTTGTTAATTTGCACACCAAGGTATTTATTCACTTTACCCAGAGATTTCAGTGAGAAGTGTTCATTTAACTTATTTACAAAGATTTCCCTGCTCTCTTTATGCTTTCCAATGTATAAAATATCGTCCACGTAAATTAATACAAATTCAATATAATCATTACTCTTTTTTACAAAGAAACAGTTATCAGCAGTGGTGGCGTTGAAATCCATGGTCTTAAGTACTTTTACCAAGCAATCGTACCATCTTTTGCCGGATTGCTTTAATCCGTACAGACTCTTATTTAATAACCAAATTTCGTTCTTATTAGTGTATTGACTGTGTGGTGCTCTTACATATATTTCCTTATCTAATTTTGCATGTAAGTATGCGGTCTGTATGTCATATTGGAATACGTCCAGATTTAGTGCAGATGCTACTACAAGGGCTGTTTTGACACTCTCTGTTCTCACTGTGGGTGAATATGTATCAGTATAGTCTTCTGGATATTTTTGTGCATAGCCTTGTGCAACTAGTCTAGCCTTGTATAAGGTATTGCCTCCTTCTAAGTTCTTAATTTTATAAATCCACCTGGTACCTATAATTGTTTTATCCTTAGGTGCGATCGCAGGTGTGAATACATTTAATCCTTGTAAACTTTCCATCTCTTTTTCCATAGCTAGTTCCCATTTTTCTCTTTCTTCATGTGGAAGTTTCAATACTTCTTCATATGTATTAGGTGTTATTTGTTCTCCATTCATATGCATTATGTAATCTTTGTATTTATTTGGTATTTGGTTTCTATTGTTTCTAATAGTTCTTTCAGGCTTGCTATGGTTATCATGCAAATATCTAGCTTCCTTTTTTGTTAATGTGTCTGTCTTTATTTTATGCTGACTATTAGTCCAAGTTTTGGTTTTGTTCTTACTTTTGTTAATATTTTGATTTTCTGTTGTTCCTTCCTCGCAAGATATCGTATCTTTACATTTATTAGGAAATATTTCATTAAGGTGCAATTTTGACCAATTGGCCTGTTCATGGAACACAGCTGTTCTGGATACTATAAATTTGTTATTACTATCAATAAATCTGTACCCTTTGGTTCCAGTTTCGTATCCCATGAATCTTAATCTCCTGGATACGTTTTCTCCCTTTCTCCTCAATTGTTTAGGTATGTGTACGTCTGCAGTGACTCCAAATATGTGCATGTGTGATAATTTGGGTTTTCTATTGTACATCACCTCATATGGTGTCTTATTCACAATACTGGACCAGGTTCTATTTTGAGTGTAATTCGAATAATGTAATGCCTCTGACCAAAATTGTTTGCCTAAACCAGCATCCTCTAATGTGCACCTAATCATGGTTTGTAGTGTGGAATTTTTCCTCTCTGCAACTCCATTTTGAAATGCAGAAAAAGGATTGGACGTGAAATGTAACATTCCTCTATCCTTTAACCATTGGGAGAATTCTTTAGACATGAACTCACATCCCCTATCTGTCATAATTTGCTTTATTCTGATATTATGTTGTGTTTCTATACGTTTGTAGAATTCCTTAAATTTCTGAAATGTTTCATCCTTGTGCTTTAATGTGTAAACAAAACCATATCGGCTGTAGTCATCCACTATTGTTAGGAAGTAACGTTTTCTATAGGTAATTGAGGGACTTAATGGACCAACTAAGTCCATATGTACCAAATCAAAAATATTGTTAGTTGATCTGTTAGATTTTTTTGGTCTGGGACTGGTTTTTAGTTTGGTGGACTTACATACTGAGCATTCCAAATAATTTTCACAATTTTTTATTTTGACACCTTCTGCGTGTTCAGTCATTTTTTGTACTACAGGAAAGCTTGCATGTCCTAACTTCCTGTGTAAGATGTGAGCACACTCATCATGAATTGGTTTACCTATTTTTGGTTTCTTTTCCTTGTATGTGTTTTTGTGATCATGAGTTATTCTACACTCATCATTGTCACTGTTACTGACATTTTCATCATCTGCTTCAATATAATCTTCCATATTTGAATCAATGTTATGTAAACATCTTTCTTTAGTTATCAGATAGGGTAGACCTCCTTTTATCATTATAGTACCTACATTTGTTTTGTTCTTTTCTATAGTTGCTTTCCCCTTTGAGAAAACTATATTGATATCAGATTCTCTGCTTAATTTTATGGCACTTAGTATGTTGTGAGGTATTTCTGGGATTAATAATACCCCCTCTATTTTCCCTAGACCAGGCAAGGTCACATTTCCTTTGCCTAGTACTTGAACCTTTTCTTGATTAGCTACCTTTATCACAAACTTATCTTCTATAAATGAAGATAATATACTTTTGTTGTTGGTGGTGTGATTTGTTGCACCAGAATCAATAAGCCAATTGTTATTCTCATCCTGCTGTGTTCTGGTGCTGTCTTGTTTATTTAGCCCATTCAGTGACCCAGATTTCCTCTCTTTTGAATTTTCTCTACCCCCTCTACCTTCTTTGTAATTTGGTGGGCTTCTATATTTGTGTCTATCTGTGGAAGATTGTCTGTAATTATATTTGCTCCTATATTCTGGTCTATGTCTCTCTCTTGAGACTTTGGGGCAGTCTCTTCTACTATGTTCCCTGGATCCACAATTGTAGCATCTAAAGGCCTCATTATGTTTATCTTGAAAGACTACTTTCCTAAAAGGTTTGTGATCTGTTTGGTTACTGGATCGGTTTTTTCTTGAATTGTCTTCTGCTATCAATTTGTTAGATAGACTTTCTATGGATAAATATCCCAAATTAATGGTATCTAAATGTGACATAAAGCTATCCCATGATGGATCAAGTGAATTGATAATAACACTTTTCATTGTTTGATCTGAAATCACTTCCCCCCTCAATTGTAGCTCAGCTCTTATTTTGTTTAGATTTATCAAATGCTCACTTATAGAAACCCCTGGTTTTACTCTAGAGGAAAAGAAATCCTTAGACATTCTTGTGGTTGTAGCTACGCTATCGCTGTGAAATAGATTAAACATGCATTGAATTATTTCTGATACAGTTAGGTTTGGTTTGATGCTATGATACATTGCAGGAGACACGCTAGATATTATTATGAAAAATGCTCTATGATGTAAACAATCTATTTTTAAAGTCCAAGGTCTTCTTGGAGGGCTAGTTATAAAGAATAGTAAATTTTCTTTCATGAAAATAACCTGAAGCTGTTGATACCACTCTTGTAAATTAATGCCATCAATTCTAAGTTTTGGGAAGTCACTGGGTAAGTTACCTACATTATTCTGTCCATTACTTACAACCTGGGGCAGTCCGTGATCTCTCAAGTGCAGGAAATTACAGAACGGCATTGGGATGCTTGCAATGAGTCTGCGCGGTTCTCTGGCCAGTTCAAGTCCTTCTGGGTCGTCTACGTAGTTTCGCACATGCGCGTTGTTCATTTCTTCTTTGGTGGCGTCGTGGAAGGTTCTCTCCCTTTCAGCTCTCTCGATCCGCTCCTCCTCAGATGAGTCGGTCTCTGGCTCGGTTTTTGGGGTTCTGGTGGCGGTGACGGTTCTTTTCTTCTTTTTGTGTGCGTTGGTATTCGATTTTGTCTGTGGTATAGGGCGAAATCGGCATGGCTCTCTGGGCTCGGGCGTCGTCACTTTCGAAGTCAGGATGGGAGCGTGCAGGTCTTGAGTCGCCGGTTTGATTTCTTGCTTCTTCGTAGATGTCTTGGTAATTTTCAGTCTTGGCCCAAAAGCAGCAAAAAGCGTTTTCATTGCTGATTTTACTTGAGATTTTGTTAAATCGTCTTCACTTTCTGATTTTGGATCATCTGAAGAGTTTGAGACTTCTTTCTCACTTTCTTCGTCTGATAGTGTTTTTCGCGCCAGAAATTTTGAACTGAGCGTTTTGATTGGCTCTGCTCCATTCTCTTTTGAAGTTCGTTGAAACCAAGATGGCTGCCATTCAAAATTTCGCGCGGGATCACATCTTTTCTTTTTAACAACTATTTTCTCATTAGTCATCTCACTTACGATTTTATGATCTTTGGGTTTTTCTTTAATGACGTTTTTCTCTCTCGCTGCTCCGCTGTTCTTCAGCATCTCCTGGAGGTCCGCGATGAGACTTTCATCATTCTTTTGGCTTTTTAGTATCTTTAATATCTCTGACCTGAGTTCGTTATTTTCTATTTCGATTTCTTTCTGGTCATTATTTTCACTCATTAGTTCTTCTTCTTCAGTGGTGTATTCTTCGGATTCTCTCGAAATCGCATTGGTGGATTCGTTGATCATCTCTTGATCAGTTTCTATTTCTTTGCTGTAGGCCCTGGTGTTGGGCCTATCTTTCTTGGACATTTTTAATTACTTATTGAGTCAATTAACCATCCTCTGCTACCAGCTTGTTGCAATATTTTCAGGATCAGACTCAATAAAGATAATAGAAGTTAAAGCTTTAAATATATTTCTTTTTAATTATGATAGGCATTCTATATTCACTGAATATTCAAGGTAGAAGCGACGAGAATGGTGAGGGTGGCTCCTTATATATACAAGGGGTGGAGCTAGGAATGGGAGTGGTAAGTTATGAATACATTAAAGTCCAAAGAATAAGTTAACCTCTGATGTTCCATATATACATTATTTACACATTGGAGAATAAGGCATTTACATCTGACAGAAATGTCTTCAGGAAAAAACCAAGCCCAAGCCTTTGGAAAAAGCACCTTTGGGTCTACTCGAGGTGTTTGTTGGGGCAGCTCCTAATCTTCTCTAGCCTAATAAAATAGTTCTCCAGGAGATGGAGATGGAGAATTTCAGCACCACCTACATCTACGAGATCTATGACCAATCTGAGGAGACCTGACAGCCTGGAGCCTAAGTCCTTCTAAGCACATTGGACTCTCCTTCCCAGAATCCCCCAGCCTCCTTCTGCACTGAGTTTCAGACCTTGCAACCCCATCCCTGGTCTTACCTCAATGGGGGCTTCTACTGCAAACGGTCCTTTTGTCTGCCTGAACTGGCCAGCCTCCTCCAGGGCCACCAGAATCTCAGGCAGGTGGCAAAAGGATGCCATTCGAATGGATTCCGAGATTCCCTAGGCAAAGCGATGTTTGTGAATTAGGACATTTATTGATTTATTGGTTCGATTTATATGCCGCCCTTCTCCGGAGACTCAGGGCGGCTTACAATGCGTTAAGCAATAGCCTTCATACTTTTGTATAGACCTGCTTAGTAGGTCTTTTCCCCCCCCAAAGCGGTGTTTTTTTTAATACAAAGTCAGCTTATTGCCCCCACAATCCGGGTCCTCATTTTACCTACCTCAGAAGGATGGAAGGTTGAGTCAACCTTGAGCCTGGTGAGATTTGAACTCACAGTAATTGCCGGCAGCTGGCAGCTACGTGCTACTTAACAGCATTTTAGTCCGCTGCACCACCAAGGCTCTTATTTGCACCTAACCCTTTGTCTTTACCTTCCGCTTTCTCCTCCCCTTCTCCACCTCCTGCTCCTCCTCCTCTCTGCAAACCCCAGGCCCTTCTAGCACTGATGAAATTACCTAGCTGGGTAATGAAATGTCTGCAACAAAACAACCAAGCACAGAGAGCACCAAGGACCCCACAGTCCTCCTCCTCCTCCTCCTCTCTGTAACCCCCATTGTCTTCTAGCACTGATGATGTTACCTAGCTGGGTCATGAAACATCTACAGGAAAACAACCAAGTTAAGAGAGCACCAAGGACCCCACAATTCTCCTCCTCCTCCTCCTCCTCCCTTCACCTCTATTCTGCAAAACCTGTTCTCTTCTAGCACTGATGAGGTGACCTAGTTGGGTCACTAAACGTCTGCAAGAAAACATCCAAGCTCAGAGAGCCCCAAGGACCCCACAAAGATGGAGGTCTCAGCCCCCGCAGGCATCCCACTGCCACTCACCTCTCGGTCTGTTTCTTCCTGGAGTGAAAAACTTAGAAGGCTTTGGAGCTGTTCCGTCACCAGGTCCTTCTGTGTTGAGTTTCGCAGTTTAACGCCATAATATTTGTAGAGGCTAATCTGAAGGTGGGAAAAAGAGTCCGTGAGCCCTAGGGAGCTCCACCAAACGGCCAGGAAAAGGAAATATAGGAGAAATTAGGATCAGAAAAGGACTCCGTGTGGTCAAGCACACGGAAACTGGTCCTGGGTGACCTGATCGGGGAGATGGGCAGCATACGAATCTAATAAGTCAATAATTGCCATTTTGACTTTCTTCTTCTTCTTGAAAAGCTACTTTAACCCCCCTCCCCCATCCCCATAGGTGCCCTTTGCTGATTCTCTGTTTGGCCGTCCTGAGATCCTTTATGGTTTCTGTGGAGATCTGGCAGCTTCATCTTTTTACATGCATTAGCTCTCCGTGGTGGATTGGGACAACTTGCCATGGCCCTCTTGGCTTGGCCAACTAACCATGGCCAACTAGCCATGGCCTACTTGCCATGGCCAACTCACCAGGGAACAAGAGTTACACTAATAGCAGGGTTCCAATACCTCAAGGGTTGCCAAAAAGAGGAGGGGGTCAGCCTATTCTCCAAAGCACCCGAAGGCAAGACAAGAAACAATGGATGGAAACTTATCAAGGAGAGAACCAATCTAGAACCAAGGAGAAACTTCCAAACAGTGAGAACAATTAACCAGTGGAACAGTTTGCCTCCAGAAGTTGTGGGTGTTGCATCACTGGAAGCTTTTAAGAAGAGATTGGACAACCGTTTGCCTGAAATGGGAAAGGGTTTCCTCCTTCAGTAGGGGGTTGGACTAGAAGACCTCCAAGGCCCCCTTCCAAGTCTGTAGTTCTATTATTCATTGTCTGTCTAATATCGAGGAAATGGTGGAACAGAAGCGTCAAATAAAGGAGGCCTCAAAGGAGGGACAAATGAAACATAAACGACAAATGTTAAAATGATTTTTAACATTATTGGAGAGAACGGAATGGTTGAATTAACCCGCGGTGAGTCTGCTGTGGCTCGTGGGCAGCCACGGTGAGTTGGCCATGGCAAGCTGTCCTCTTCTGATGTTGCATCTAAGATAACTGCGGCCCTAAAAGTGTAAAACCTCCGCATATTTACCTTGTCTTTAGACAAGACCTGGGACGTGCTTTGCTTCTGGTCGATGGGCGGCAATGCGCTTGTTTTCCTCCTGGGCAGTTTGTGGTCTGAAGGAATCTGCTTTGCCAACAACAACAAGAACAACAAAAAAGAAGTTGTGAGAAAGTGAAGGAGCAGAGGAAGGAACAGCTTTCTGTGTGTTTCCAAGGGGAGGATTGGTTTCCCTTCTGCGTCCGGATGCATATTATAAGTAATTTGACTTTTCTAGCTGGGACAGACACGAAGCACGTAACAAGGAACATCCGGATTGTATCAGCTGGAGCAGAGGCAGCTTTTGAGATGAACGGTTGGAAAATCTCTGCCACAAATTGTGAGAACTTGATTTATCACCATTTATTGTTGTGGCCCTCCAGCAGCCGAATCAGAGGAGGAGGAGGAGGAGGAGGAGGAGGAGGAGGAGGAGGAGGAGGAGGAGGAGGAGGAGGAGGAGGAGGAGGAGGAGGAGGAGGAGGCGTGGGAGTCAGGGCCAGCATCAAGGCAACCTGAGAGCTCCGAGGGGGAAGAGGGAATGGGGCTGGCAGAGAGAGAGACAGAGGAGGAGCCTGGGCCATCCGTCAGCCCTCAGATGGTGAGTCAACAGACCGCAGGTCTGGAGGTGGATGAGGAAGAGGAGGAACATCTGGGTCCAGTGCCTGACGCGCGGATACACAGAAGGCAGAGGAGAGGAGAGCAGTGGAAATCTATGGGCCGGTCCTTGGGACAGACGAGCCACCACTGCTAGCGAAGCCCCTCCCTAGCTCTGGGGATAAAAGGCAGGGGGCGGAGATGAATAGATGTGGCAGACAACGATTCTTCTCCCTGCCGGATGGACTTGTTAGCCTGTGGTGAGAGAGAAACTTTTTGTCGGGGCTGCTGGCTCTCCTCATAAAGGAATCTTTGAGTTCACTTCAGAGGGTTTGTCGTGTTTGGGTCAGAACATTTATTTACTGACTGTTCGAAGTTATAAAGGATAGTTTACAACTGAAAAAAATGGACTGTTTCTCACACTCAGGACCATTTCGCATTTCCGTGGCATGCAGAGAGCTTCCGGTCCCTGTTGTTGCTGCCCAGCATTCAGTGCCAGACAGTGCAACAGGGCGGATGGTTGTCTTGTAGGTCTTAGATTTAAGATGGGTGGCCATTCGTCTGTCCAGTAACACACTGGTGAGTTCTCGCCAACGTATCCAGGCTGCATTCTCCTTTGCTCTCACCTCGCCATTGATGTCACCATTGACATTGGAGGTGGGATCCCAGATACCAAAAAATGTCCACCTTCTTTAGGTTTTCTCCATTGATTTGAAGCATTCCAGGGGTGGTGACAGTCCCTAAGTATCCTGTCTTGATGTTGAGGTGGAGTCCAAAATGGTTGAGGCAATCATTCCATGGTCGTTCCATGATCCTTCCAGCAAGGACCCCCTAGTTCAGCAAATTCTCCATAACTACATTTGTCTACTTTTGGGATAAATGATCTCCACCGAGGCAGCCCTGGCTTCTGGACCCTCTCCACGATGGACCTCAGGGCCCACCGCGACACAAACCCAGCTGCTTACCTGGAAAGGACGAAGATGGTCCAAGATGGTCTCTAATATTTCTCTCTCGTCCATGAGATCCAAGATTTCTTTGACGGGTCTGCCTTTTAATGGCTTCCTGCTCTCCCATAAATTTTTGAAAGACTCGTCAGAGAGTTCTGAGAAGAAGAGACAGACAGAGATTGATGGGCAATTCGACAGGACAAGCCTTCTCAAAGCAGAGAGAGACAAGGAGTGCGTAGTGGATCACCAGGCTGAGCCTGAGGGAGGGGTCAAACGTGTCATAAGTCTCGAGGCCCTGATCTTCCTGTCCTTAGACAACCATCTTATATATGGAATTGGAATTTTTTATTGCTTTGAAATTTCATGATGTTGTAATCTTATAATTTAGATCTAGCCTTTGAAAAAGGCTAAGAGGGAGGGGTCTTTCCTCACCTCTGAGGGTAAGATGTTCCCTAATACAGTGGCAGCAGTAGAGAAGACCCTCTTCCTAGGCCCCACAGTCGAAACTCTTTGACTGATGGAGTCTGCACCATAACGTCCCTACCTGATGAAGGACGATTGCAGGATTTGGATTTGGGTAGTTAGGAAAAGGAAGGAAGGGTGTACTAGTGACATGAGAGCAGTCTTCCAGTATTTGAGGGGCTGGCACACAGAGGAGGGGGCCAACTTATTTTCCAAAGCACTAGAAGGTAGGAAGAGAAACTTATTGCTTAATGCAATTGGTCTCTGGAGAAGGAAGACCTCTAAGGTCCCTTCTGGCTCTGTCCTGATGGATTGATTGATGGAGGGATGGATGGATTGATTGTGTGGGGTGGGCTGATGTGATAGGACAAGGCTGGTTCCATAGGTAGCCCAGCCCTGTAGCATCTATACCTGGATATGAGGGAAGGATGGTGTCTTGAGAGCTTTTTCTCCCCGGAGCCCTTTCCCTCTCGGGCCTCCTTGGCAAGGAAGGGGGCTCTTTGAGGCCAGGCTTCATTTCCCCCTGAGAAGCCCTCAGAGGGGTCCTGCGCACCAATTCTGGCAGCACCAGTGCTGGAGGCTGCACCTTCTTGCTCATGTCCACTGGAGCTGGGGAACCCTTTACAAGAAGGGGCAAGACCTGCGTGGTTCTTTGAGTGGCCGAAGAAGTGGACGGGTGGGAGCCAGAGAAGTGACTGTTCCACTGCCATGGGTCATTATTCGTAATTTGGGGATGGGACTCCTTGCTGTCCTCCTTCTTCAAGAAGGGCAACTTTTTTAGCATGTGGTCCATCCTCTCGTGAAGAGGGAGTTCTTGAACTGGATGGAGATCCTGTCAATAAAGGAGAAGTTTTGTAACTCCAGGTTGAAAGGAGGGGTCCTTGGTGCTCCTATCTATCTATCTATCTATCTATCTATCTATCTATCTATCTATCATCTATCTATCTATCTATCTATCTATCTATCATCTATCATCTATCATCTATCATCTATCATCTATCATCTATCATCTATCATCTATCATCTATCTATCTATCTATCTATCTATCTATCTATCTATCTATCTAGTTGTCTATCTATCTATCTCTATTTATCACATGTTCTTCCTGGGTCAAGAAGCTCAGACTGCCCAAGGAGCTGCTGATCTACAGAGGAATTTGGGAGTCTCTCCTTTGTACCTCTACAACTGTCTGGTTTGGCACAGCAACCAAACTAAAAGTCCCCTAAAGAGAGAAGACGGCAAGGAAATTACAGGCAGCAGAGAGAAAGCAGAGTTGCTTAACTCGTTCTTTGCATGCAAAAAGAAACTATAGCCCAACCTACCAACAACGTAACTGTGAAAGACAGACTAGAAATAAAAGTTGAAAGGCTTCAGCGAGGTATTTGACAAAGTAGAACACTCCCCTCCGCTCTGCTCTGCTCTACTCTGCTCAACACAACTCAACTGAACTCAACTATCCTCTACTCTCCTCAACTCTCCACAGCTCCCCTCTCATCCCTTCTGCCTTTATATCTCTGCCCCAGGGGCTGTGACATCACCGCATTATGTTCTCATGGGGGACAGCTGGTGTCATGACCCAAGGGGCCTCTTACTCCCCAAGATAATAGGGATGGGATATGGAGGGTCCCCTGGATAACCCCCTTGATAACATTAGCGACATTATGGGGAGCAAAGCTAGGGGTCACTATGGAATGACCCACTGTGATGGTGTCCCTCAATGTGCTAGATCTCAAAAGAACCTAACCAAGATTAAGGCTGATCAACTTTGTTCTTTGATTGGCTAAGTCTGCCACTGAGCATAGGACTAAAACATTCCAAATTAGTAAGGGAGTAAGGCAAGGTTGCCCCCTATCCCCATTATTGTTTATTTTGGCCTTAGAAGTTCTTTTACGGAAAATTAGAATTAATGAGGAAATAAAAGGACTGAAGATCAGGAAGGAAATTTACAAGACGCAAGCATTTGCAGACGATGTAGCCTTAATCCTTGAAGACCCCATAGAATCAGGACCAAAAGTGCTAGAGGAATTAAGTAAATATGGAGAGGTGGCAGGCTTCACATTGAACAAAACCAAAACCAAAGTATTGATTAAGAATACAACTGAGAGCCAGAAAAACAAGTATTAGGACTACAGGTTGCCAAAAAAATTAAATACCTAGGAATTTGGATTACATCAAGATGTTCGACCTTAAAAGACGACAATTATACTCCCCTAATTAGGAAGATGAAACAAGACCTTGACAGATGGAAGAAAATAAGATGATCACTTTTGGGCAAGATAGCCACAATTAAGATGAATATTCTCCCCAGAATACTATTTTTATTCCAAAACATACCGGTAAATTTAGAGAAAAAGTTTTTTTTAGAATTAGACAAAATCATCAGAGAATTTATATGGGAGGGGAAAAAACCGAGGTTTTCTATTAAAATTTTAAGGGGCAAAAGAGATATAGGTGGATTTGGACTCCCCGATTGGGAAATATATTACAGGGCAGCTAAGCTAGTCTGGATAAGAGATTGGATCACCCTGGAAAATGAGAGGATTCTTACCCTAGAAGGCCACGATTTGCAAAAAGGGTGGCATGCCCACATTTGGGATGTAGAGAAGAAAAGGAAGACATATTTCCATAGACATAAAATTAGAGACTCATTGATACAAACATGGACCCCGATTAGGCAAAGATATTACAAAAAAATTCCAAGTTGGCTCTCAACGATGGAGGCCCTGATCCACCCCAATAGATGGGGGATGGAGAAAATGGGCAGATACAAAGATATCTTAGACGAAGGAGGGAATCTTAAATCAAATGATACTTTACGAGAGCAAGGAATAACTTTAGATTGGTGGACCTATTCACAAATAAAATCTAGATATCAGAAAGACAAAGAACAATACGGTTTAGAACTTGGATCAAATGGATTGGATAAAGTCCTGATGGGAACAAATAAAAAGATTCTGGCCAAACTATACAACTATTTATTAGGTGATGACAAGTCCGAAGATATCACAAAGAATCAAATAAATGCATGGGAGAAAAATATAGGGCGTGATATAAATTTTGGGGAATGGGAGGAGGCATGGAATAGGAATCTTAAATTGACTACAGCGGCGACATACAAGGAAAACCATTATAAAATGCTACATAGATGGTATTTAGTCCCGGCCAGACTAGCAAAGATATACCCTAATATACATCCTAATTGTTGGAAATGTGGCCACGGTCAAGGCACCTTCTTTCACATGTGGTGGACATGCCCGGAAGCGAAAGGATATTGGAACAAGATCAGGAGATGGTTATATGAAATAATTGGCGAAGATATTGAATTAACACCAGAGATATTTCTCCTGGGAATAGTAAAGAAGCCATATGGAAAGGAAAAGATACATTTAATGATCCACATAATTACAGCCGCCAGATTGGCATACGCACAGTACTGGAAAGAGAAAACCCAACCACCAGAAGAGCTCACAATTAGGAAAATATTGGAGTGCGCAGAGATGACTAAATTAACTCATGAATTAAACGATGATGAGAAGTCAGTTTATTATATTGTGTGGGAAAGGTGGTACAAGTGGATGCATGATAAAATGAAAGAAAGACCTAAAGGTGTGTTAAATAACGGTAAAAAGTGATTTGAAATATCACCAAGTATTATTTATGTATATAGTTAAAACACTGCACATCTGATACTAACTGTAAATGTCAGTACACTTATGTTTTTTTTTCTTTTTTGTAAAAAATCTCAATAAAGTTTCTCAAAAAAACCACAAAAAACATTAGCGACATTATGGGGAGCAAAGCTAGGGGTCACTATGGAATGACCCACTGTGATGGTGTCCCTCAATGTGCTAGATCTCAAAAGAACCTAACCAAGATTAAGGCTGATCAGCTTTGTTCTTTGATTGGCTAAGTCTGCTACCGAGCTTGGTTTTTTAATTTTTCTTATTATGAGATATGAGATATATGAGATATGATATACTGGTGTAGGGTTTCCTGCATTGGCAGGGGGTTGGATTAGGAGACCTCCGAGGTTCCTTCCAACTCTCTAATTCTATTCTATTCTATTCTATTCTATTCTATTCTATTCTATTCTATTCTATTCTATTCTATTCTATTCTATTCTATTCTATTCTTATGGAGTCCTTGGCTTACAACCATTTTTTTAGTGCTGGTTCAAATTACAACAGCACTGAACAAAGTATTTTTCACACTTATGACCATTCTGGCATCTCCACGGTCATATGATCAGAATTTGGACCTTTGGCAAGTGACTCACATTTATGACAGTCGCCGTGTCCCAGGAGTCACGTGATCCCCTTTGGCATGTCAGGGCATTTATTAATCCCATGTTTGGCTCTGGGACTAATTACCCTGGTTTGGAGGAGATGGATCGTGGCTTATCCTTGTTTCAATAATCTGAAAAGAAACGCGAAGGAAGGTTTCTAATAAAACTCATTTATTTGTTATAAAGAAAATAAAACACCTCACTAACTAAGAAAAGTTAATTGTTACATTTTTGAAAATAATTCTTGCCGGCTATCTGAGCCGGACTTCTGGCAAGAGAACAAAGGAAGGAGTGAGAGAAGAGCAAGTGAAGGAATGTGGGTGGATACGGAAACACGTAGCTTACTGATAAGAAGTTGGCAAAGCTACGGAGAGTCTGACAGTCCAGAAATAATGAGCTCAGCTGGTAAATAAAATAACGCAGTGACATTCCCCTTCTTTGCCAGTTGAGCGAATATCAGTTCATCATCAACTAAGGCACATCTTCGCACGCAGATACTCATGTTGAGCTGCTGGAAGTGGTTTGTTGAGCATATCAGCAATTTGATCATGTGTAGATACATATTGCATTTTGACAAAACCTTTTTTCACTAAATGTTTTATGTTTTGGTAACGGATGTCAATGTGTCTGGACCTAGAACCTGTAAAATGAGATTCAGAAATATAAACCACCGATTCATTGTCTTCCATCACGGTGATCGGTCGGATCGGGTGTGTCCAGATATCTGTGACTAAAGCATCAAACCAAGTTAGGGAATTACATGCATCTGAAACACAAGCATATTCAGCTTCAGTAGATGAACAAGAAACAAAATTCTGTTTACGTACTTGCCAATAAACAGGACATCCATTTAAGAACATCATATAACCTGAAGTACTTTTACGTGATTTCTTATCACTTGCCCAATCAGAATCTGCATAACAACATAATTCTGCATAATCAGTATGTGTTGGTTCTAACAATAACTTCATGTGTTTAGTGTATTTTAGGTATCTCAATAATTTCTTAATACATGTCCAGTGAAACTGTTTTGCCTTACCTACGTGTCGTGATAAGAGATTAACACTAAGTGCAATGTCGGGTCTGGTCCAACTACTAATGTACAATAGTGACCCTATGACTGAACGATAAAGTGTTTGATCCTCGAACTCAGGACTTTCTTCTTGTGTCAAGTTGTGAAAATCTTTTTGCATGGGTGTCTTTGTTGTGTTAGCATCTTTCATGTTGCAATGATGCAAAACTTGTTCAATTTTATCTTCTTGTGAAAGACTAAACCCCTTCTGTGTCTTTTCAATCTGAACACCTAAATAAGTGCTAATGTGACCTAATGATTTCAATGTGAAGTATCTCTGCAAAGCTTTGGCAAAAATTTCACTCATTTGCTTATTTGGACCAATATAAACAATATCATCAACATAAACAAGAACTATCTCATATGCATTGTTAGATCTTTTTGTGAACACGCACTCATCAGTTTCGGACTTAATAAAGCCCATTGAATTTAGTTTGTCAGTAAGACATAAGTACCACATTAAACCAGATTGTT